CTGTCCTTCTGCTGATTCTCACAAGACCCTAGGTTCCCCTTGAAGTATTAAAGTCATACTCTTAACTCAGCTCTTGTTCTGCCTCTGGTAAAGACAGTTTCCATGGTTTATTCATAAATGATTCTCTGTTTTGTGACATGAATAAAAACAGAAAATCAATGTAACTCTTATGTCAAATATTAAATTCTAACTTTAGTTCAGAGTAGATGTTCAAATACAACTATGTATAAACACCCTACATCTCTTTTGCGGTTCAGTTTAATCTTTTATTCAAACCACAGAAATAATTGATTCTTTCGCAGGAAAAGCCAAAACTAAGCTATCCCATCAGGAAGACTGTGAGCTACACCAGAGTCAAAACAGAATATGACTCAAAGAGAAGGTAAAAACTGAAATTGGGTGGCTGGGCATGGTAGCATACACCTGTAATCCTCTTAGTCAGCCTCCCAAATCACTGGGATTGAATCTTTCACAGGAAAAGTAAAAACTTAGGAGGATGGGAAGTCAAAGTCAGCCTCAGCAACTTAGTGAGAACGTGTCCCAGAATAATAATAATAATAATAATAATAATAATAATAATAATGATAATAATAATAGTAATAATGGCGGCTGGGGAATGTGGCTCAGTGGTTAAGTATCTCTGGATTCAATCCCTGGTGCCAATTTTTTTTTTTTTTAATTAGCCTGGGTTTAGAATGACCTGTGCTGACTCATACATAGGAGGATTGCCTGAATGGACATTTAAATTAGCAGATCTTGTTCAATGTGACTCTTCAGAGTGATTTAAAATTGACATTTAAATATTAGAAATATAGTCTCTTAAACTACTCTAAGATTTCATCTCACTCTTGTCAGAATGGCAATCATCAAGAATACAGGCAACAATAAATGCTGGAGAGGATGTGGTGAAAAGTGTATGCTCATACACTGCTGGTGGGACTGCAAATTGGTGCAACCACTATGGAAAGCAGTATGGAGATTCCTCAGAAAATTGGGAATGAAATCACCATTTGACCCAGCTATCCTACTCCTTGGTTTACACCCAAAGAACTTAAAATCAGCATTCTATAGTGACACAGCCACATCCATGTTTATAGCAGCTCAATTCATAATAGCTAGACTATGGAATCAACTTAGGCATCCCTCAATAGATGAGTGGATAAAAAAAAATGTGATATATATACTCAATGGAATATTACTCAGATTTAAAGAACAGTAAAATTATGGCATTGCCAGTAAAYGGTTGGAGTTGGAGAATATCATGCTAAGTGAAATAAGTCAATCCCATAAAACCAAAGGAAGAATGTTTTCTCTAAAATGCAGATACTGGGGCTGGGGATGTGGCTCAAGCCGTACTGCGCTCGCCTGGCATGCGTGCGGCCCAGGTTTGATCCTCAGCACCACATACAAAAAACAAAGATGTTGTGTCTGCCGATAACTAAAAAATAAATATTAAAAAAAATGCAGATGCTAATTTACAATAAGGTGGGGGTCACTAGGGAATAGCATTTCCTTAGATTAGGTAAAGGGAAGTGATGGGAGGGGAGGAGAGGGTATGTGGGGATAGGAAAGATAATAGAATAAAACAGACATTATTACTGTATGTATATATGTGACTACATGACCAATATGCTTCTGCAACATGTACACTGAGAAAAATKATTATATCCTATCTATATATGATATATAAAAGTGCATAAATGCATTCTAATGTCATGTATAACTAATTAAAACAAATTTAAAAAAAGCAAATGTCACACTCCAGGAATGAACGATTCCAATACGGGCACAGCACTACATACATTGGTGGGGAGAAACTGCAAAGATCCCCAATGTCTGAAAACAGGGGCTGGTGACCTAAACTCTACTCAAATAATAAAAAGATATCCAGCCAATAAGAAGGATTAAGTAAATCTCAATATTCAGCATATATATGAGGCTCATAAGAGCTAAATTTAAAAAGGGAAACTTTGAAAGCATTATCCTAAGTGAACTAAGCCAGAAACAAAAGGTCACATACTGTATGCTTCCACACACAGGAGATGTCCTAAATAGGCAAATCTGGAGACAAAATTTTTATTGTGGTTGGAAGGGCAGGGGTGAGAGGTATAGTGTTTCCTTTTGGGGGTATGGAAGTATTCTTAAGATAGTGGTAATTGTTGTACAACCCTGTAAGTATAATAAAAACCACTTAGTCATACTCTAAAATGGTGAATGTTTTATACAAATTTTATCTCAATAATGAAAACCTTAAAAATAAGATGTGTACTGTGTGTATTCAAATGTGTATATAAGTCACTGGGAGGACTGGCAACCTGTTTCAATGTGGATGGCCTTCAAAAACATTACACTAAGTCAAAAAAAGCCAAATATAAAGGCCTATATATCATATTCCATTTAAATTAACTTCTAGAACGTGCAAATAAATCTATAGACAGTAGTTGTCAGGAGGTCATGGTGGGAATTGACTGTAGTGAGCAAGTGCATATCAATTTTAGGGAAGTTAGGGAAGTGAAATTTGGGGGGCAACTTCCCTTTCTTCCATTTTCTGGTATTGCTTTTCTTTTTTTTTTTTTCCTGGGCAAAAATATTATTTCTGCCTTTAATAAAATCCATCATAAACCCTCCTCTCTAACTCTACAAAGATATTTTAGATGTTTTAGCAGTTGCTCTATCTCCTATTTTCCTTCTCCATATTTCAAAGTTTACTTACACAATTTATTTTAAGTATGTGCTTCACAGGTTTTAGTAAACATACTGTTGTGTAACTATGGCCACTCAGAAAGCTCCCTCTTGCTCAATACAGTCAATTCCCACCATGACCTCCTGACAAATACTAACTGGCTATCTATAGATTTATTTGCATGTTCTAGAAGTTAATTTAAATGGAATATGATATATAGTCCTTTATATTTGGCTTTTTTGGCTTAGCGTAATGTTTTTGAAGGTCATTCACATTGAAACAGGTTGMCATATAGAAATATTCATTTTTATCATGGTGATGGTGTAATTGGAAAAGGAAATAAAGTTGTTTCCACCTTTAAAAAGAAAACAGAAAATAAAAGKGATTTTTGAGACCATTCTTTAAAGGTAAGACTCTACCAAATTCTTCGATACTACAGAAGACCATAAAACTGAAATCCACAAGCAAATGTCATTAAATATAATAAAGACATTTTCAGAACTACATTTTATCTAGGAAAAAATAACCATATTGTTTTCCTTACTTTTGGGAGAATCAGAGTAAGCCAACTAAGTGAAAAAATAAAATTTACAAGCATTTTACATGTTAYCACTCAGTACTTGGTTAAAATTGTGTATATCACAAATGTTGAAAAGCTACTAAAAACACCTTAGTACACAATTATTCATCCTGCAAATTATCCGCAGATTTAGTGCTAATTTCAGAAATAAACCAAATTTATATATGCAAGGTAAGCCTAATTAGTTAAGCTCACAAAAATGTATTAGCCGATTTTTAGAACCTAATGTGCTCAAGAAAGTATTTTGCTTTTAAATTAGAACAGCTCTGTATTTAATTAGTCCTCATTTGAGTATGTAATCACCTTAATTTATTTGCACAAACATAGGACATTGTGCTCCATCAGCAATGTTCTTCATTAACAAAGTAGGAACTTTGTGCACAAGAGCAGAAGAAATATTTCCATCTGTGATGCAACATCAGAACTGAATACTATCAAATTTTATAGTCACCATTTGTTGATTTTAGGGTCACCATCCTGAGATGCATATTAATGATAATATATTTTTGATTAAGTACCCTGCCATTCCCTAGAAACCAACAATTTAAATATTTAATGTTTCATTTTACCTATCATCCAGTTATAAAATGGATATTTACTTGGCAATGAACAAAGTAACTTACTAAAATTCAAGTAACAGTATTACAATTCAAGCATCAGTAATTTGTATGGTGCAGAAGCAAAGTTAATTTAAAAAAATTCTTCATTATGGTATAAAATAATAGCAGTTTCAACTGTAGAAGAGGCAAGGATAGGTTTTATTTAGACTGCTGGAAACAAACAGTATATACTGGAAAAGTCAATGACATAGCATTCTTTCATTAAAATGTAACCAACCTATCCTTTCTTAAGGCATTTTCAATAAATGTTGATATTTGTGTTAATTACCTATTATCACACATTCTCCAAAATCCTAAATACACTCTCAAAAGATTCTTGTTAACTTTTATATATCTACTTTTGAAAAGGTACTTATGTTTTTGCTTGATTCTAAATGTTTCATATCTAAAGTTCATATTCTGACACACACATCATTCAATACAGATAACTTCATAATTTAAGCTTTTATTTTCAAATAAACTGGAATTTATAAATATTGAAATCACTTAGTAACTAGCAGTTGAAATTTGACATGACAACACAAAATGTGTTAGTGGATACTTCGTGAGGACTAACTTGGGGCATTATTTGGATAGGAGGCTTGCTCCAGGTAGCATTTTAAAGAATGGCTTAGTGCTATTTTTTTGTCAAGCAAGCTTCCTGTTAAGACTTTTGCCATGGGAGATGCTACATTTTGAAAAATTCAGACACTATTTTATGAAAGACTAAACACTGTTATATAAATATGTTTTGTGTGTGTATGTATATATACATATATGYATATATAATCTCCCCTCCCACAGGGCAAGATAAACAGGTTGACTTGAGTCATTACCTCAGATCTTCTCTATGACAAGAGATCTTGCAACATGGTTTTTATGTCCTACTTGTCCATGACTGAATGAAAGTGCCCTACAGAATAAGATTCTAACTTCTACATTTCCTGTGTTATTCAGACTCTAAAGTCCCCATTCATATGGTATATAATTTCAAACCAAATTAACTTTTTTTTTGGTAAGTAGTTCTAATTCTATGGGCTCTCTATTCGCCTGATTGTTTCTTTTCCTGAGAAGCTTATTAGTTTGAATCCATCCCATTTACAGATTCTTGATTTTATTTCTTGCACTATAGGAGTCTTATTAAGGAAGTTGGGGCCTAATCCAACAAAGATAATTTTAACATTGAAAAAAATTATCTTTCTTAGCTATGGAGAAGTTAAATAACGCCTATTAGGGTCAAATATACATACTTTCAAACTGTCAATTATACAGTACTACTTAAGTTCTAGCCAAAGTCCTGTAATTAGACACATTTTTWAAAAAATTCTTTGATTGAATGCTAGTATCCAAAGATAGCATTTCAAGATTTATAGAACTTTGCATATGCATTACTATATCTGAAGAAAGAATGCCTTTTCCAACAAAAATAGTTCTTAAAAAGTGTGAATASAGTATGGTAGTAAAGTCACAAAACATGCATGTGTGTTAAATTAACTACATGTCCTTGGCATGTGTGCATTCGCAAGTAAATAACACAGTAATGTGCTTTAACTTGCCACTCCACTTACTGAGAACATGACCTGGAATGAGATACAACATGTGTCAATCTGTCATCCCCACAGTGAGCTTTAGTTAATTTATGTTAATCACTGGGTGAACTGAGCTGAGGGTTTCTAGTATTTAAAGATATTTGTATGTTTTTGGCATAAAAAGGGCATTAAAGATATGAAACCTGGTATATAAGAAACAGAAATCCATTCCAATGCCAGACAAAAAGAAAAAATCCACAAATTTTGAGACACAGATTACCAGTCTTTAATGTATGCATAAATATGGCTATATATATTTTTGACTTGGAATTTTATAAGGGAAATATTGGCTATACATGACTCTTCATATAACCAAGCAAACTCTTGCATTAAATGCAATTTCACTGTATGGGTATATTGATAGAGCTACATATTTAACTGGTTTTACATACTATTATTTTGGAGCTAAATAAAAAAACAACAAAAAATTTGTACAACAATTTAAAAATTATTTTGTTGTGGGGATAGGCAACAAATAATAAAGCAATATTATCCATTTGGGGAATGTGGCTGATAATGACCAGTGTTAACTAAGAGTGAATTTAATTTTTAAAGCATAATCTAACTTATTCCTGAGAACTTAATATTAACAGAAGGCATTCATACATTGCCTTAAAAGAACTGTATTTAAAAAACTGAAAAAGGTAAAGATACTATTTAAATATTACAATAAAATATATTATTCTAACCAAAACTATTAGCAAGTGTGTTTCTCCTGAAGATTAAGTATGAAGAAAAACATATTTATGTGATGACAGAAATTAGAACTTATGATCTTATAGGAAATGTGKTTTAATTTACCTCAACTTCTTTTTATACTTGAAAAATTGCTCTAAAAAACAACCATTAATTCATCAGTTTGGATTTTTTTTTTAAATAATGTTTTTCTTCCATACCATGACTTTCTCATAAGTGTAACAGAACTTTATCTAGAATTAGAGGCAGTTTCTCTAGAAAAAGCCAGTGGTCAATATACAGGGCATAGTATTTTCATACAGATTATCTGGTAAGAAAGCTTAAATATAAATCAAATAAATTCAATGTAAGAAAATAAATTTCTTCTCATTTAATCTTTTTTTTCTGATTCTATACTAACTGAATTCTATTTTTAAATCTAAGGTGGAGAGTCAAGATCAAACCCTAATTACAGAAAATGAGACACAAAGAACAGTTGTTTAGTAAAAGTAAACTCAACAACACAGTTAAAATTAATTGGGAAAACTTTAATTATTAAGCATCAAATGTAYTTTACATTGATAAATGYAATACTCAAATTGTGAAATTTTAAATATTTTTCTCAAAAAAAGTTAGCAATTTTCTTTCTCCTGGGAAATGTGGAGACCCAACTAAGCAATAATGTGGTCAGTTCARGTTTAGATAATATTAATATCTACACAGCCGTTCAYGTTTCATGTCTATTGTGAACTTCCCATATCTTTGAATTTTAGCAAATAATTTTYATGAGATAATTTACAGGACTGTCAATTCTTTTGGAGTGCAAACTCACAACACTCTGCCTGGATCCAGTTTTTATTGTTTCACTGTACTTAATTTGAGAACACAGGTAATTTTTCTTTCCTAATTCCTTGGAAAAAATATTTCTGCAATAAGTTTTGTATCTTGTTTACTATATATAATTGGGTTGTTTTTAAGAAAGATTATCAGCTTTGTGGTTAGTTTCCCACAGTTGATAAAAATCTATCAAAAACATCGTAATATAATTTGTAAGGAAGAAAAGTTGTTTTTCAAAGAATGCAGAACAGGAAAGAAATAGTACTTCTTATTTGTATAACCACAAACACTTAAAGCTAGTCACACTGCAGGTAAATCCAATACAGTATTCAAAAGTTCTATAAAAATGAACAAAAGATACATGTTTACTTCCACTGCTCCAATAGTCTATTGTAAATCTGCACGAGAATTGTGTTGCAGCAGTGTGCTGGTCCAATTTAAGAGTTCAAGGTTCTTTTTGTGTATTTGGCCCACTGACGTCCACATCCCAGTAAGTTCAGTTCAAAAGACGGAAATTAGGGCAAAGACTCCATATAATAAAGCACATGGATATGCTACTAAAAGTTGCTGTCCTTCCATAGCTAATGCAGAAATAAAAATCTTGGAAGCGGAAAAACTACACCATCCAATAATCCCAGCAGTGAGAATGATTCCTACCATTCCTCTGTAACAAAAAAACAGGGGGAGGTGTGAGACAGATAAGATTAGTTGTATAAGAACACTACAATAACCTGTTCTAAAGAAAAGCATTTTAATCCACATGTAGACATACAGAAATAATCAAGATTTTTTTTCAAATGTTAAAATGTACCTCACAGTAAATCCAATAATGCTGAATCACTTCATGTGATAAAAAGCTAATTTATAACCACATTTTGCTCTTTWAAAATATGAGATTTCCTAATCGTGGCACTTGTGAAATTCAGGCTGAAAATTTCTCTGTTGTAGAAACTACTCTGTGCATTATTAGGACATTCAGCAGGTATCCCTGGCTTCTAACTTTAAGATACTACCATTCCTGCTTGCCCACAGCTATGACATCAAAATTGTCTCTAAACATTGTCAAATGCCCCCTGGAAGCAAAACTCTACTGGATGAAAATTAGCATTTTAGTATAAAAGCAACTTCTATAAAATTCAAATATAAATATATTAATTCTTAACAAATCACAAGCACAAAGCAGCTTCTTCTGAAGCATTTGTTCAAAGGCAGAATGCTGCAAAGCCATTATCTTGCCAAATTTTTCCTATTGCTCTTCTCTTAAACATTCATTTTGACCATCTATCTGAAATAAAGCCTAATCATTGGTAATGTCCAGTATAAGCCACAAGGAGGTGCTTGAATTACTGAAAAAGAATTTGCACACTGGCCACAAGGAGGAACTTCATGAACAGTAATTGACCTTTCTATTTAATCTAACCTAAAAGATCATTTAAAAAGTACACATATTTAAAGCTATATACAAGTACATCTGAGAACATGGGGATTCATAATARCCTCTTATCATAAAAAGAGTATGTTTCATTTTCAATTATAAAGCTGTCAAATCAAGACTGTGTATTTATTATTCATTCATTTCACATATGCTCAAAGGTGTCAAACAATTTGATATGATCTAAAGCATATTAAGAAGGGTAARCATAATTTTAAGATGAATAACAAACTTCTCTGCGTGTGATATAATGATCACAATTATTCATTACTGATATGACCAGGCTAAGTAAATAAACACAAAACAAGTAAAATTCTTGTTCAYAGGTAAACGAGCTTTCATAAAAGATTTTAAAATTTATTCCCATTTTCATTGATCATTACCCAAAAGCATGTAGCAAAGTTCTTACCTACAAGAGCCACTATTTGATATGCTTGTTGAATCAGTGATTTCAAACTGAAGATAAGATGAATCCTACTACATGGAATTGTCAATTAAACCCCAAGATAAAGATCAGTACTTACTGTAAAGAAAATATCACTGCAAAGCTAGAAAGTAGGATCATGGGAAGAAGACAATATCCCAGGACACTTGCCACACAACCAAATGAAACACCCGTCATACTCATTAAGTTCAATAAACAAAACATCCCTAGACATCCAATTGCACTGATCCCATATACGTAGCCAAACTGGATTTTGCCAGCCTACAGGTAAAGAAAAGATAACAGGTTAAAAGACAAAAAAAAAAAAATAAGTTCGTTTTGACATAATTTCCCCTAAAAGAGTACAGATATAGAATTCAAGATCAACAAAATCTGAAGATGTATATATTCTTCACRTAGGGAAGTAAAAGAACAGACWAGTTTTTATATACTTCTTAAGCTTAAAGTGATATCACCTCCCAATACAGATATTTAATTTTCCATTTTCCAGGTAACATCTGAAGTTGGCATAGAATTGAACAAATAAAAGGACAAAATCATGGTATAATTACCTAAGCTAGCTGGATTTCTAAAAAAGAACTTTGGTTGAATTTAAGCAAATAAACCACAAAGACATGAAGGAAAGGCATTCAGAATGCTTGAATTGCTAATAATCATTTGAAGGCACCTGATTTCATCCCAAATGCTCCAAAGCAACTTATTCTCATTGGCAGATGTAGCCATAATCTTTTTAATAGCAGAAATAATTTTATCAATTACTTTAAATACATATTAGCAGAGCTAGGAGGAAAGAAGTCAGGATAAGCACTAAGCTCGGGCTCTGTGGAGAAAGGAGGAAAAAAAGCAAGAATATAATGGAACATTTTTTTCTTTCATTATTTTCCAAAATAGTTACTTTTTACAGTTCTCTGACCAAATAACAAYAAAACCTTAATTCTGCTCTGGTAAAAGACATCACTAGACAATTTTAGAATAGCAAAGTAGGTAAATTAGAACTACCTCACTAGTCAAGGTATGTTTAAAAAAAAAAAAAAAATCACTGTATTCATGCCATACATTCACTAGAACCTGTCTATAGAGGAACCTTCAAAAAGACCCTGGTTTGTCAAATTTTCTTCTCATTTAAGATTTAATCTTAAAAATTCTTCTACATTTCATATAGCAAAATGAAAAATCCTTAGAATTTTTATAACAAAATATATTTGTAAATACTTCATTAAGAGTGTGGAAATTTGAAAAAGCCAGCTGAATTAATTGATGAATTCATTCATGTAGCAATAATAAAATCCCACACTTGCACAGTGCTTTTAACTTTTCAAAGTGTTCTGCCATAACCAGTCTTATTTTATCTTCAAAACAATCCTGTTAGGTAGGCAGCACAGGGTTATCTATCAGAGGGATGTCAAGGACAAAGTAGATGTTCAAGCCCAGCTCTTCTGTAAAAATTCCGTTTTTATTCACTACATTATTTATCTTTTGCAATTTAGAGATATAATATAAAACAGGAATAATTATCTTTAAAATGTTTCTTTTCATTCTTAATATACTTTAACATTCTTGGGAGTTGGAAGATAGAGTGGAAAAATCCCATAGTTCTTCAAGGTTTTGACTCATTACAAGGTAAAATATATTTAGGAAAGTAATCATGAGTCCAACAACAAAACACTGACCACCAGGTCTAGCATTTAAAAATCAATAAGCAAAAAATACTACCATTTAAAAACAGCCAAAGCAGGCTAGGTGCTGTGGCATACACCTATAATCCCAGTGACTCAGAAGGCTAAAAGCAAGGGGATCAYGAGTTTGAGGCTAGTCTCAGCAACTTAAGAGAGACCCTGTCTTAAAACAAAAAATAGTAAGAGATGGCGATACAGCTCAGTGGTAAAGCATCTCTGGGTTCAATCCCCAATACAAAAAGACAAAGCAACAGGTAGAGAACATTAATACCTGCAAAGTAGGAAGTAAAGGGACTAATTGAGGGACTGAAGCCACATATTATGTAATTTTTCCTTATTGTTTTGTTTTTTTCCCTAATTGGACCACTTCTTGAAATAAGAAATTACTTCTTGAAATAAGAACCATAAATACACTACATGGTTCTACTGATGTAGAAATGATGAATAGGTATATATTCGAACAACTAAATGCTATGTAAAACACATCAAAGACTTTGAGGTATAAGCAAAATTTCAAAATGGCTTTTAATAGAATATTTAAAGATTGTTAAAAATCTGATAGATGAAATTAAAAATCTTACCAGTAACAACGTGGCTCCAAAGGCAAGGCAAAAAACCATTGGTCCTGCCAAATCAGTTTCATTCATAATGCTGCCATCTGCTACTTTTAATGGATGTAGCACTGTTAGTGTTTTTTGCCAGATGTGGTCAAAATTGATACCTAATTCTAAGGGAAAAGAAAAAAAAGGACATGAACTAGAAAGGGTACCAGATGTGATGAAACAGATAATAATTACATCTCTCAGCTAAGACTGCACAGCAAAAAATACATGGACAGTAGTAATAGTAAGGGGCTCTTTATCTAAGGCTTCAGGAACACCTGGTGGCCCCATGAAACTGTATACAAAACTATGTCTCTATGCATATGTGCGCATTTTTCTGAGGAGAGTATTCACAGCTTTCTTTAGACTTTTAAGGGTATTTAGTCCACACACACACAAAGAAGGTCAGAACTACTGCTCTGTAGTTTTGAAAACTATAATATTTTTTAAGTAACATTATCAGTCTAATAGTTCATTTCCATGCTCAATAATCTCTACTGTTATTTCCTTCATTTCTTTCACTGATAAAATTTAATAATCTGAAGTAAAAGTCAGTGTTTACAAACTGATATACTTTAGTATTAGTTAACAAAAAAAAAAAAAAAAATTCTGTTGCCTCTGGCCCAATGTGGTTTCATATACACTTTGTTCAAAATGAGCTTCTAGCCAGGCATGATAGTGCATACCTGTAATCCCAACAGCTTGGGAGGCTGAGGCAGGAGAACTGCGAATTCAAAGGCAGCCTCAGCAACTTAGCAAGACCCTGTGTCTAAATTAAATATWAAAAAYAGCTAAATATGTGGCTCAAGAGTTAAACATGCTGGGTTCAATTTCCAGTACCCCYACCCCACAAAAAGCTCCTAAGTTGAAAAAAATTTTTCATATATGATTGTTTTCTTAATGAAAGGACATCTCCTCAAAATTAAGTTTTATTTTCACTGACCAGCTAGATACTAAAGTACAGGTTGAGTATCTCTCTAACCTGAAAATTCAAAATCTGAAATACTCCAAAACTGAAATTCTTTGAATGCTTGGCACAATTCTCAAAAAATTTCAGATTCTGGAAGATCTAAGATTTCAGAGTTTTGGATTAGGGATGAGGAAATCTAATCTACAAAAATATTCTATCATCTACAAAAATATTTTATCATCTACAAAAATACTCTAACATCTGAAAAACTTCAAAATCTAGAACACTTCTGGTCCCATGCTTTTCAGATAGAAGACATTTAACTTGTACTATCAAATGTTACAACCAATCTTACCTTCTAATAAAGGTGGTTCATCCTCAAAGTTGTTTCCGTAGAATGGCTGAGGTGTAGCTGGAGTATATGCCTGAGTTGGCTGGAAAATCTGACCAGTGTATGGCTGTTGTGGCTGCATCATGTCTGCAGGGACAAATCGGCCTTGCTGCGCATAGTCATAGCCAGCATACTGT